AGTTGAGAAGGGGTGGGAGGAGAAGGGTAACTCCAATTTCTTGGATCACGAGCACTTCAGCTCGTGATCCAAAGAGTGATTATTTTATTGAAGTATTGAGAGGTGACTTTGAGTTAAAAGACTCCATCGAGTACTGGTGGATGACCCTAGATTACTGGTGGATGACCCTGGAGTACTGTTGGATGACCCTGGAGTACCTTTGAATAACCCTAGATTACTGGTGGATGACCCTGGAGTACTGGTGGATGACCCTAGATTACTGATGGATGACCCTGGAGTACTGGTGGATGACCCTAGAGTACTGATGGATAACCCTGGAGTACTGGTGGATAACCCTAGATTACTAGTGGATGACCCTGGAGTACTGGTGGATGACCCTGGAGTACTGGTGGATGAACCTGGAGTACTGGTGGATGACCCTAGATTACTGGTGGATGACCCTGGAGTACTGGTGGATGACCCTGGAGTACTGGTGGATGACCCTAGATTACTGGTGGATGACCCTGGAGTACTGGTGGATGACCCTGGAGTACTGGTGGATGACCCTAGAATACTGGTGGATGACATTGGAGTACTGATGGATGACCCTGGAGTACTGGTGGATAACCCTAGATTACTAGTGGATGACCCTGGAGTACTGGTGGATGACCCTTGAGTACTGGTGGATGACCCTGGAGTACTGGTGGATGACCCTAGATTACTGGTGGATGACCCTAAATTACTGGTGGATGACCCTGGAGTACTGGTGGATGACCCTGGAGTACTGGTGGATGACCCTAGATTACTGGTGGATGACCCTGGAGTACTGGTGGATGACCCTTGAGTACTGGTGGATGACCCTAGAATACTGGTGGATGAACCTGGAGTACTGGTGGATGACCCTAGAATTACTGGTGGATGACCATTGGAGTACTGATGGATGACCCTGACGAGTTACTGGTGGATGAACCCTAGATTACTAGTGGATGACCCTGGAGTACTGGTGGATGACCCTTGAGTACTGGTGGATGACCATGGAGTACTGGTGGATGACCCTAGATTACTGGTGGATGACCCTGGAGTACTGGTGGATGACCCTTGAGTACTGGTGGATGACCCTAGAATACTGGTGGATGAACCTGGAGTACTGGTGGATGACCCTAGAATACTGGTGGATGACATTGGAGTACTGATGGATGACCCTGGAGTACTGGTGGATAACCCTAGATTACTAGTGGATGACCCTGGAGTACTGGTGGATGACCCTTGAGTACTGGTGGATGACCATGGAGTACTGGTGGATGACCCTAAATTACTGGTGGATGACCCTGGAGTACTGGTGGATGACCCTGGAGTACTGGTGGATGACCCTAGATTACTGGTGGATGACCCTGGAGTACTGGTGGATGAGACCCTGGAGTACTGGTGGATGACCCTAGAATACTGGTGGATGAACCTGGAGTACTGGTGGATGACCCTAGAATACTGGTGGATGACCCTAGATTACTAGTGGATGACCCTGGAGTACTGGTGGATGACCCTTGAGTACTGGTGGATGACCCTGGAGTACTGGTGGATGACCCTAGATTACTGGTGGATGACCCTAAATTACTGGTGGATGACCCTGGAGTACTGGTGGATGACCCTAGATTACTGGTGGATGACCCTGGAGTACTGGTGGATGACCCTGGAGTACTGGTGGATGACCCTAGATTACTGGTGGATGACCCTGGAGTACTGGTGGATGACCCTAGAGTACTGGTGGATGACCCTGGAGTACTGGTGGATGACCCTAGATTACTTGTGGATGACCCTGGAGTACTGGTGGATGACCCTAGAACATTGGTGGATGAACCTGGTGGAGGCCTGGTCACAGACCGGGCCGCGGGGGCGTTGACCCCCGGAACTCTCTCCAGGTAAACTCCAGGTAAACTGGTGGATGACCCTAGAATACTGGTGGATGACCCTGGAATACTGGTGGATGACCCTGGAGTACTGGTGGATGACCCTGGAGTACTGGTGGATGACCCTAGATTACTGGTGGATGACCCTGGAGTACTGGTGGATGACCCTAGATTACTGGTGGATAACCCTGGATTACTGGTGGATGACCCTGGAGTACTGGTGGATGACCCTGGAGTACTGGTGTATGACCCTAGATTATTGGTGGATTACTGGTGGATGACCCTAGAGTACTGGTGGATGAACCTAGAGTACTGGTGGATGACCCTAGAGTACTGGTGGATGACCCTAGATTACTGGTGGATGACCCTAGATTATTGGTGGATGACCCTAGAGTACTGGTGGATAACCCTAGAGTACTGGTGGATGACCCTAGATTACTGGTGGATGACCCTAGAGTACTGGTGGATAACCCTAGAGTACTGGTGGATGACCCTGGAGTACTGGTGGATGACCGTATAAGTACTGGTGGATGACACCACCAAGGTGGGCTGTGATATACTCAGTGTAAACTCTGACACTATTGCTCCTGGGATAATGTCCTTTACAAACTCACACTCCCAACTTGGATTAGATTATAGCAGGAAACAGGAAGACACTATTCATATTTTCCATAATTCCCTTTTCCTCTCTTCCCTCATGGCATCTCTCTCTCTCTCTCTCTCTCTCTCTCTCTCTCTCTCTCTCTCTCTCTCTCTCTCTCTCTCTCTCTCTCTCTTACTCGCACGTCAGCTACCTGGCAGCCATTTTACACAACACCCTTTCCCTTTTTTATATATATTTGGCATCATTTGACCTTGTTTTTTAAAATCTTAAGTGACAGTCCCAGTCGTCCTTGGCCATCATTCACACAAGGTCTTTAATTTAAGAAATTATATTCCCCCCACCCAGCAAAAATCACGATGATACATTGCGGTCTTACGAAGCACAAGGGTAAGATATCCTGGGCTGGGGGTGGTAACTCATCTTGCGTCCGCCAACAAGGCTCGGGACAATGGTGGATTTTACAGTGGTGAGCTGGAATTCATCCATGGAATTTTATCGCCGTTTCGCTGCCGTGAAAAGCGGTTTTCTGTGAAGGCTTTGATTTATTGAACAAGGCCTGGCACCAGCCCGGAAGACTAACACAGAGAAGACAGTAACACTAACCCAACTCGGTGATTCCTCTCCCACGAAACAACAGGCCTGAAAGTCAGGGTGTCATAACCTGTCTGGTAGCGGCTCTGTAAAGCAACGTTAACTGAGCATCAGAGCAGAGTTACTCATTCATAGCGTGTTAATACCCATGAAGGTCGTCATCGCACACACCGCTCATTCATTTACCTCAGTCACATTCTTATCTAATTATCATCATTCCATTAACATCATTATTAGCTTCCACCTAATCCCAATTCATCTCTCGCTCACACATTCCTGTAATGGTCATCTATCACGCCATAACAGTCCACCAGGCACTATCGATTACCATACACCTCATTCACGCTAACTACCCCTCATTCCAACTACCACTCAAGCTAACAACCCGCTACCCCCTCCCCTCTCCCTCTTTCACTCCACACTAATATCGCGTGCATACACTATTCTAACCAGTGCTGCTCTCCAGTCAGTTACTCTATTGTTCAATTTCTACTGACGAGAGGTGTCTGGTGACTGTCGACTCTGGTTACGACTGGCATCCAGTCTGTCATTAACCTTGGTGTCTCCCCCTCACTCCCCCCACCCCCTCCTACATGAATTATCATCGCCTCCTTCAGCAAGTGCATGTATAATAATGTAAGGAGTTTAGCATGTGTGACGGCCAGCATGAGCAAGCATGCTTATACTAACACCCATAACTTCTATGTGTTTTGGAGTAACTCTTTATATTTGACTTAAGCTTCAAGTTAGCAGAATGTATTCACTTGCCTCAGTCATAATATATATTTGGACAATGCACATCAGCATCTGTGCACATATTTTGCACTTGCACTCTGCACTTGTAGAATGTACCAAGAGGATGCAGCCCGCCTAGTACAGTGCTAGATTATCTCTAATTAATGTACAAGTGATGGTGAGGTACTGTGAGGCGAAGACATGAGTGATGACTTCACGTGATCCCTCTGGTCAGCGCTCTCTCTCTCTTGTTCTCTCTCATGATGCTCTCTCTTTCTCTCTCTCCTCTCTCTCTTTCTCTCTCTCCTCTCTCTCTTTCTCTCTCTCTTCCTCTCTCTCTTCCTCTCTCTCTTCCTCTCTCTTGGATATGACATCTCGACCGCCACTTGTCCACTTGTATAGATAAGTAGTCAAGGGTGCATCCTGTAGTTTAGACAGATTTACTGTAGTGACACCATGATTCTTTCTGTTAGAGTGGACTTGACACTAGCCTCCGCCATTATATTCCTTGGCAGAGATCTTGTCTCTCCACTTCAATAGAAGAGATGTCAGCTCGGTTGCTAAATGTCTTGAATACTCTCAGAAATGTCTTGTGATTTATGCTAAGATTCCTGCATGCTGCTGTACCAGCTGCTCTGGAAGCTTGTCATACAAGAGCGATTCTGATGGATTCTTGTTTTGGCCGAGGATGGTTAGAGTATGTAGTGCGTGATTATATGGCTGTAGTGGAGAGTGTGTGTGTGACGGCCGGTTGTTGTCTGCACGTCAGGAGGCAGCGTGTACACACCCCTCAGCACCCCCCAGCCTACTTCCAACGCCGGCTACACCAACACCCTGGCCACTCACTACCCTGAGCAAACTTCGGTGTCTCCGCCTCACTGCAGCAGCGAGAGTGTGGCGCCTCTGGACAACCTGGTGGTAGCGCCTTGTTCCTCGCCCCTCAAGGCTGACACCCCCTGCACCACCGCCCTCACAGTCCTACAGCCTGCCTCACACGCCCACGCTGCCACTCACCACGCCCATGTATCCACTCATGCGCATGCACCTACCCACGTGCACTCTTCAACGCATGCCCATGTACCCATGCACGCCCATGTAGCGGCCACACCTGATCCGACCTACACCACCCTCCCGCCCATCACACACTACTCAGGTGAGTTGTATTGCTGCACCCGCACGCCCTCTTGCATGTGTCCCGCCCGTGTGCTGGCATGTGCACTCCCAGCACGCTACATGTGCACTCCCAGCACGCTACATGTCACACCACAGGCGCAGCAGTCCACTCTACAGCAGACCTAGCAGCAACACCTTCACTACTTGGTAAACAATACAACATGATGATCGCAGTATTTTCTTCAGACACCTCTCGTCTCACCCTAAGACAAACTCAGTACTTCCTCTTTATATCAGTACATTACAGTATATATCTTTTTTTTTTTCATTTCCATTGAAATTAAACTGACATCTTTTCAATTCCTAATTAAATGTGCCTTATGACGAGCCATGGAAAAGGATTTGAAAGCAGAATTGATTACAGCATCCTCAGTGAGTTCGTGAATTGTGTTTCTCTTACCGACGGTAAGTAAACAATGTACACGACAATAACGTCAGATTATTTTTAATTCTCTTGAACTGCTTTGAAATATAAGTCCCAAAACTCAGTGATTCCTCCATTAAGTCTCGCGTATAAGTTAATTCAACTTGGCACTAAATACGTGACTTACTCATCCAATTATTGTCATTTTTTTCTAGCCTTTGTCAGTACGAACTGTGTCATCGACGAACATTTATTATTTGTTTGTGTTATTCCTTTTTAACTGTCGGTTTATTGCTGATGGTTTACTGAAGTCCATGTGGGTGTAAGAACACGTCTCCCACAGACTTCTGGCAGCGAGAGCACCGGTTTCTCTCTCCTGATTAGCGGGTGGAGGATCGAACCTCCTATAACTTGAACTGGATTACTCATATGGGTTTAGCACATACAAAAAAAAAAAAACTTCCAAAGGTTATATAATCTCTACTTCTTACTGGTCATATCATCATCATCTCCCCCCATCCCCCATCATTATCTACCTTGCATGAGTCTTCAGTTTCATTTGTACTGTAATATTCCTCATGTACCTTATTTGTGCTCCCTCTGTCCAATGTGTGTACGGGTTTGTACAGTGTGTATGGTTCTCTGCAGGTACGGCCAGCATAGGAGCGATGACAGACTACACGTACACGTCTCCGTACACCCAATACTCCTCTACCTACCCAGCATACGGCTACGGCACCGGAGGGCTCCTTAGTAAGTAACTGTGAGTATTGATGTACCTTATTCTTTGGTTCCTTGTGTTGCAGTTATTACTCCCCCTGGGTGCGGAGCTTTGTCTTGAGTTGCTCAAGTCTTCATTGAGAGTTGCGTTGTGTCGCCGTCTGGTAGAGGAGCTGAACGTTACTATAAGTAAGAGTATGGAGTACAGGCTTTGAATTAGGTCTTCTCATAATACAATCATAAATACGTACACTTTTTTATAATACAAACATAAATACGACTAAAAGACTATAAAAAATATGAATGACGACACTATGGCTAAATATCTAATATCTCTGCTAACAATTTACATTGTGACATTGACATACAAGTCGTTCTTTTGGCAGCTGTCAGGTAATCTTTACCACTCTGTATTCCTCACGAATTTTCGTGGAGTCTTCAGTTTGATTTTTGGATGTGACCTTCATTACTAACACTTGAGTAACTCTCACAAGTACTCGCAACAACATCAATGATGAGTCGAACATCCAGAATGGAGGCTCTTCTCTCCATTCCTCCTGGTAGCGCTGTTTTGATATTCAGTCTTTTTCTCCCACTTCTTCGTTTGAGACCAAATTTTGATACTTTAATTCTTGATGAGATGTTACTGTCTTTAATAGTCATAATCAATCTCCTTTTCAGATCAGATGGTTACTTAACCTGAGAGACACATCACTGTAGTTACAGTAATTGATTCTTTACTCAGGGCTTTCTTGTAGTCATGGTGATTCTGTAGTCACGGAGGGGCTGTAGTCACGATGGTTCTGTAGTCAGAGCGTGATTTTAGTCACGGTGATTCTATAGTCACAGTGGATCTGCAGTTACGATGGTTCTGTAGTCACGATGGCTATGTAGTTACGATGGTTCTGTAGTCACGATGGTTATGTAGTTACGATGGTTATGTGGTTACGATGGTTATGTAGTCACGATGGTTATGTAGTTACGATGGTTATGTAGTTACGATGGTTATGTAGTTACGATGGTTATGTAGTTACGATGGTTCTGTAATCCAGATGGTGTTGTAGTCACGGTGTGGCTGGTCACAGCCTCCTTCCTCCTTCAGATTTTTCATTCATTTTTTTCTTAATTAGATTCTGTGAAAGTGTATAATAGATTCTGTAATTTGGTGATCCTCTTATTACTTTCTTTTCTACTTTCTCTTACAATATTTTTGGTTTTCCTTATTGTTTCTTCTATTTTAATGTTTTATATTTATATATTTTATATTTATATATTTTAATTCAGTGATTAAGATGTTTAATTTACATTTAATACATGATTTATGTGTGTTTGTGTGTTTTTGCGTCATGCATGATTGTTGACCATCATGCATGGCGCGAACGAGAGCCAGTGGAATCTAAGCCAGTTTCAACGTGGTCAAATTGCATACTAATTTTAATTATTGAATTAATATAGAACTTGTACGGTGATATCAACAAGTTGGGGAAAGACGTGTGTACTGATCATTACATTTAAAAGGAAAAAAATTTCGTCATGAGTGGCTCCTTCAGCCACTAGTAGCTAAACTTTATCTTGATAAATGTCTTGATCAGAGTATACTTGCGTTCTACTTGTTTATATTACAGTCACCAGAAAATACTAAGCCCTTATGGTTCTTGCAGTACCACATTGTACGATATTATGATTTTAAGAGTCATCACTGTCCATAACATTGTTCTGATGGTTTAACTGCCTTGTTACAGACATGGGTAACTACAGTACCTCCGGTAACAGTATCAACAACAACAACAACAATAACAGTGGCGGTGGTAGCAACAGCGCGAGCGGTGGCACCAACGCCCACACCGCCACCAACACCAGCAACACCAACTCCTCGGCTCGCCTGCGCATGTTGCAGTCGACGCTTGGTTCCTCCGCGTGCCTCAGACAAGACCGCTGCACGTAATGCTGCGTCTCTTCCACCTCGCCAGAGTCTCCGTTATATACAGGTGTCCGGTTTATCAAGACAGCGGTAATACAACGGGGCTTCGTTACTACACCTGAGCAGTGACTGTCCAGTGTCACTTTGTGTGAACCAGAAACTGTATTTCATGAAGCGCTGAACCCATGTGGTCCATTCAGCGCAAGGAGAGGCGGAATCTCGATCCTCTGTCCGCTAATCGGGGCCTGGTTCCTATCCACTCAGACTGTTTGTTGTAGAACGAGGAGGAAGAAGGAATGGGCACTCATAAGGAGGAAAGAGAGAAGGAGAGCAAGAACCTGAAGACAACCTTTGATAAGTCTCCATGACCGCAGTGCGGGGAGACAACTAGTTTAGCTGAGTACGTGTTTAAGCAGCACGGACCGATCTCTAGCTAGGATACCAAAGAACCACCACCCTCAAGTCACGAGCTTGCGTGAGTCAGGTCCCTGCCGGACCCTTCCTTCTTCAGGCACACACACACAGGAAAGAACCTCAGCAACCCCAGGCATTTCATTTTGTACATAGCACCCTCTAAGGCCTTCCTAGTGTGTCTGAAGGAGGTAAGCGAGGGGCACAAGTGCCTGACTCTCACACACACCTCTTTCCACTCTGGGCGTGGGAAGCCGTCCTCCTGTAACAGGATGACTCTGGCATCTCCCAGCGCCAGTAACTTTACCTATCGGCTCTCGGTTTTCATTGGGGTTTATCGCTGTCCAGGACATAGATCTACTGACTCGTGTTTTTGGCATTGATCAAAAACTTTCTAAATCCCTATAACATTAAGTTTTTTCAACAAAGGCGCCTGTGAAACGGTGATTCGATTACCTCTTACATTTATATATATATATATTATATATATATATTTATATATATATACATGCACATATACCTCTCTGTCAGAAGAGGCTAAGAACAACAGAATACAGACTGTTGTTATGTTGGAGGTCCTCCCCATTACCTCTAAAGGCTGTTTACCAAAGAAGCGTCTTCTGGCTTCTGCCTCCTTAGCCTGTTTGTACAAGGCAATGTTTAGTCAGGTGGACCTCTCTTGCGGAGGTTACTATATGTTTCCTAATTGTAGGAGACGGTTTTATATCGACGAGTTTTTAAAGGAATGACAAGTTGAATTGTGTATTAAAAATAAAGACCTATTTATAATGTCTGCTGAAAATAATCAGGTAGGTCGTAGTGTTAAGAAGAGAGTAGGGTTACAGTAAGGATTTTTTACGCTGGTTCTTTTTTTTTTTAATATTTATTTTGCCCATTATCACTCAGTTACAGTGTACAGTATTAGCCCGTAGTGTTACTGCTCGCAATATCTAGCAGCCCCCGTGTTCTACAGTCACAAAGTGTTATATCAAGTGTTTATATAAGGCTAATGGTGATCGGTATTCATAGCCAAATACCGATTATTCTGTATTTCGTAGATTCAGTACAGATTTTTGTAAGTCACACCACCTACGGGTCAGTCCAGACCTGCTCGGCAGGAGTCTCAGTTTTACAAATTAAAAAAAAAAGTTAAAAGGTCACTTTTATGTATGGTTGTGTACCTTAGCATCAGGTATCAGTTTCGTATATGGCTACATAAACTAGTCTTGTTTATTAAAGAAACAATCAGTCCCTATTATCACCCTCAAGAAGTATTACGGTATTTGTGATTCCCTCATAAAGAACTTAAATACTCTCCCTACATCCGAATCTGTATTGATCTTACTCGACTTGATTCTCAATGCAAAAAAAAAAAAAAAAAAAAAATCATACTCTTAGAAAGATTTCTCCACCTGGGAACGGCACTCAAAGTGTGGTTCGATACAGAGCTGGAGAAGCCTCATATCATTGTTTCGGAGCGCAGGCTATTGGGTGTGGTATAAAGCTTTTATGGAAGTTTATCTGTAGTCCTCTCCTGGGCCTCCACTGCATTGTTCTTGTATAGGTAAATTATTATCATATATTTTTTCTTGGTTTGTGCACATCAACATGTAAAGTCACTGTAATTCTTTGTTTTTGTTGCTTAAAATTTTTGTCATTTCAGTTTTCAGTGACATTATATATATATATATATATATATATATATATATATATATATATATATATATATATATATATATATATATATTATATACATTTTTCTACTATCTTGAAACAATATGAGTAATATGCATCAGTGTGTTGTATCTACTGGTTGTCATGTTGTGTTGCTTGTACAACACAAGCACCGTGGCAACATTTGAGTGTCTTCCAAGACTTTAATGCAAAGCAGACTGTTTGTATTTCAACTGATGCTATTTTAGTCACACGTTGAACCTACATATTGATGTATGCAGCAACAATAGGTAACTATAGAAATAAACAACTGCTGTTTATAATAAACAATGTCTCATTTTTCCCTCAAATATAAATTTAAGAACAAATTTCTTCTGATAAAAATTGAGTAAAAAATCTAAAGAAAAAAGTATTATATTTATAAAACAAAAAATTTCTAAATAATATGTATTTAAATTTTTTTTCAGCAATAATGTTTTGAATGAACATTAAAAACCTGAAGTGTAAAAGAAAGAAAACGATATTTTAAATGTGTTACTGGTGTTAACTAGATGTAATATATTTAGGCTGAGGTACAACTTAAGTGTGGTAGTACATGCCATGTAGCACATATTAACACACACACAATAAGAGAAGCAAAATGAAATAAAACAAGAGAGCCATTCTGGCACCACCCTCGTTATTACCATCATTGTCCACGCTATCGGGCAGGCTGCTTCCTGATTGGCTGACTGCTAACAGCTGTCGACCAATCACAGCAACTCCTTCCGGCTTATGTCTTCAAGACGACAGTCTGGCAAACACTGTAGCTTTTCGACCGATTTATGCCGAGGAACATGGAGGATTTCTTCTGATATTTTTCTGTTGAAGGAAGAGAAGAGCTCAGCCCTTTAAAACATCTTTTATTATGGTTATACAAAGGCAAGTTCTTATTCTGGTCTCCTGGGTTTCATTTATCAACACAAGATATTTTGTTCTAATAATATGTTTGTTATAAAATAATTTAATGCTTTCACAGTTAACACAACCAGTTCCTTAACTAGATTTAGAAATAATATATATATATATATATATATATATATATATATATATATATATATATATATATATATATATGTATATATATATATATATATAATATATATATATATATATATATTATATTTATATATATTATTATATTTATATATATATATATATATATAATATATATATATATATATATATATATATATATATATATATATATATATATATATATATATATATTATACAATGATAATTTGGATCGAAGTCATTAGCAGAGTTACAACATTACGTTCTATACCAACACTTCTCCAGAAAGGCTCAGTACTAGAGAATATAACAAATGGTAGAGAGGAAAAGTTCCTTGGTCAAGCGTATGAATTTCAAGTAGTCTCCCAGTTGATATCCGCGACTTTCTATGGCATTATAATCGCCCTGGTAGGTTGGTCCATACCTCGCAGGCGGTCCGTAACTCGCGGGCGTGAGAGGCGGATCTTGCTTGGTCTCCCCTCTCGCTCCTCAGTAAGATCGATGTGCACGCCGGCATCATTGCCAAATTTCCCCTGGCTGAGGATTGGTGGTTGCTGTAATACATCATACCTGGCGCCTGCTACCCGGGGCGGTGCCATACACACCCACCTCATTTAGGCCAAGCGGGGGCACTACCTGGCACTCACTGACAACAGTGATGGTACATGAGTCTGTAGTAAATAATGATTACAGAGGAAAAATCGTGAGCTGTGGCCGAGGGAAAGAGGGGAAAGAGTGTGTGTGTGTGTAGAGGCGCTGAGGTAGGGCGAGGGAGAACGGCAGTCTTGGCTTTGCTACACAACAAGCAGGGGTCGTGAGGTGTGTGGCTGTTGTACACACGAGTTGTGTGTGTGTGTGTGTGTGTGTGTGTGTGTGTGTGTGTGTGTGTGTGTGTGTGTGTGTGTGTGTGTGTGTTTGTGTGTGTGCATATGGATGTATACTTATCGACTAGTTGGCACTTACCCATTTATTCAGACCGAGGTGACAAAGCGTTACATAAATCTGACGTCAGGAAAATACTGAGTGCCGCAAGTAATTCATGTTTGTGATGAAATTTGGTGACTGTTTGTGTGGAGATATGCGTCCGTGTGTCTGTGTGTGCTTGTGTAAGTTAGAGTATGTGTGTGTACGTCTTACATGTGAGTGTTCGTGTGTACGAATGCGAGCATGTGTATGTATGAGGTGTGTTCGCTGCGCTTGTGTTATAGTGACTGAACAGTTCCTTGGCAACACTGTGGCGGGAAGCCAGGGTCATCCACGGACACCCACCAGAGACGCGCACGGACACCCACCGCGGTCGTCCATGGTCCCCAGGGTCGTTCTCCAGCACTCCGCCGGGGGTCGCACTCTCCTTAATTTTTCTCTTTT